AGGTATATGAAATGTCATTTGATTTAAGCAGACCTAGGTGCTTAATGATGATGCCCATGGTCAAGCGAATTCCCACAGTTGCCATTGCCTGTTGGGGGTGGAAGGGACGTGGACATGTCTTCTGAAGTGGCTCTAGGTTGCCTTTGAGGTTGCCTTACCATATTTCCTGTGCTAATTAAAGCAAGAATGGTTGTTAATTAAGTTTTCTAGGTTAATCATGAATGTTTAATGTTACTTTTAAAAATACTGTTTTCAAGTTCCTTAGCCAAGGGGTTTCTGGGGGTGTTTGTAAACAATGGGCTGCTCCCACTTGCTTGTTACCAATCGAAAAGCTAAGGACTTGCTCACCAGGCAGCACCCCCTGGACCCGGTTCACTTTCTGTGGGTGGCTGCCACAGCCACTTCTGAGTTTTTCTCTCAGGAAGAAATGCTTTAACCTGAAGAAAGATGGCGTCCTTCTTGTGGTTTCCTGACACACAGTACAAGGAGGCCCCCCCAACTCAGAGCTTCCCTCTTCTGGCAGTAAAAAGGCAAAAAGCCTGCCAGTGAAGAGGGTGAGGAAAACAGGCTTGTGCAGGGTGAGGGTGGGAAGAGAAATGGACTGTGAAAGGAAGAGGGTGGGGGCGGGGCTGCGCTCGTCCTGTGGGTTTGAACCAGTAATTACGTTTAGCCTGTGAACAGAAAAATATATGTTTTCATATAACCTCAATATATCCTCTCCAGTGTTTACTGCCAGGACCTAAAAGCTCAAGACCTGGCATGAAGCATTTCTAAAATGACAGAATTCTCACTCTGAATTTTTCCAGTGAAAGGTTGTGATTGAAAAATTCCATATTTCTCTAGGGAGCAGTTTTTTATTCCATGCCAAAAGAAAAGAAAAAAAAAAGTCTGATTACCCACTTCCAAGATTAAAGTCTTTAATGGAACATACTTGAGAAAGCCCATGACGGAAGCACCTCAGGAGCTGCTCCTTCCCGTTGTCCTGGGGGCTGCGGAACGTGCCTGCTGGTCCTCACTGTCCACTTCCTCAGGACATGAGCCAAGCCAGCGAGAGCCTCACCGTGCTGTGTGCCCAGGCCTTGTGACTGTGAGATGCCAGTGGGAGTTTTTGTGTTGTCTAGGCCCCCACTGGATTGGTCAGGGCGGAATCTTGGCCTCCCCCAGGCACAGCTCCTGGGGGATCCTGGAGGGGCTGTGCAATGAATGAGGACTGCTGGGAATTGAGGACTGGCCCCTAGGTCAGCCACCAGGCACTGCTAGCCACTCACAACCTCCAGGCAGAACAAATGAAGCTCCCCTGGATTTAAGTGAGACTGGGGGGGTGTGGGGGTGCATTTACAGACATAAATGCACCCTACCTAGCCCCCTCCCCACAACACACAGACACATAGCTGCTTTTGCTGGCAATGGAGAAATGAACTGTGGCTCGGCCACCTGGGAGCTCAGGCTCCCAAGCCCAGGGGCCAGTAACTCTACGGTCATTTAGTAGAACGGTAGGTAGGTGTTCAGATCCAACATTTATGTTCACGGTTGCTTGAGATAATGGAAACACGTTCATTAAACATTTGGGGCCAAAGAGTTTCCTGGGTAATGAGCAAGCATCTTAATCACACTCTTGCATTTGAAGCTTGTGCTATCTGGAAGCACAAAAATAATACAAATTAAGTAGATGGAAGGATTAGAGGAGAGTCTCCATATGTGGGGCTTAAGAGCCAGGGTCTGAGCCGTGGCTGGATTCAAAGCCAGGTCCTGGTGGGCACTAGCTCTGTGACCTTGACTTAGTCCTTCAGTGCTCTGCCTAGTGCTCTTCACTTTTAAAATGGGTAAGATTACCTCATCAGAGCACTGGAATGGTTCAAACACCAAAAAGCATTTTCAACTATGCTTGGCACCTAACTGCTTGGTAAACATGCCCATGTCGTTGAGATGTGGCACTGTGGGAGTATGAGTCCACCAGTGGACAGCACACGGTAGGAATGTTGAAAAGAATACTAAGGGCTGTTCAGAAATTTTACCTTGAAATCACGGAGATGTGTCTATATTACTTAAATAAAGTAAATTGATAGGTCATTTGAGGAGCAGAATAGTTCATTAAAAGTTAACAGCATTGAATTTATTCAAATTTGAAATTTATTCAAGACACACTTATTGGGTTACCTATCAGCTTCGTGGAAGTAATGTTATCGGAATACATTAGCCATTACTATGAACCTTCAGGAGCCCTAATTTTAGCATACAGCATATATTAGAGGAGCGCTATAAAATTTTCAAGCATGAAAAAGATTGCTTTGAGTCATAGGAGTGCAATTAATGATGTCCCTGTATTGTCCATACTTTAGAAAAAGATACCAAATAGACAGACTTGGCTAAAGAATTTATGCACTGAAAATATTTGAGATCTTCTAAGTAAATATGGCTCTTATTCACTTCAAGTATGTCCCACATATAGCTCCAAAATCCTAATGTTGAGTTAAATGTAACTGAAATGCCATGATAAACAATGTTGACAGCTGCTCAATTGATTACGCTACAGGCCACAGCCTGGTAAGTGCCAAAAAAAATATTAAGCATTCTTCATAATTTTTCATGGCTTTGACCTTAAATCAATGATGAGAATAAACACAGCACTACAGACCTAAGGCCTAATGCAAACATGAATTTTATAATTAATTTGCAAGCAAATACCACATTTAATAAAATTTGAAAATATCACCCTGGGCTGTTTCTAGTCAATCAAATGATGGCTATCATCAGCTATAGTTTTGTACAGGAGAAGAATGTTTTCGTGAATTGGAATAAGTTTTAAATGTTTGCAAAATTATAGGAAAGAATGAGAATAATGTGGAAGTAGTTCAGATGTCCATAATAATTTTAAAGTAGTTCAGATGTCCGTAATAATTTTAAAAATGGTTTCACTTTCCTTACCCGCTTAGCCCTCTGTGAAGGAGGACAAGGGATTCTTCCATGTCCCTTTGTCAGACGAGCCGCCTGAGGTTTACAGGACAGTTGATGTGACACACACAGATCCCGCACCTCCTTCCTCGGATGACCAGTTCATGCTCTTGAGGGTTTTTTCAGGCTCTTAAAGCATCACTCATCACCAGCATGTTGCATTATTGGCATCTTAGGTTCTCTTCTGCTGGTCTGGTTTTCTGAGCTACTTTGCCGATTATTTTTGCCATCATCACGCAGGCCTTCACCAGAAACCACCTCATGACTTCTGGATGCTCAGCTTCGGGTCAGGACCTCACAGCAGTTACCATTAACTGGCATAAACATGATGCAGCTATTTTTAATTCAGAATTATCGAAAACCAGATCATTGTGCCTCAACTTTTTCAAAAGGAGGCAGACTATACCAAAATGAAATTATTTGATGGAATGACTGAAAATGCATGCATTGTTGTGCTCATTTTAAACTCCTAGATGATAGGGATTATGGTCATTCATCTTGTAAGCCCAGTTTCAGTGTTTGAGGATGTGTGGCCGATGTGTGTCTCATGTCTGTCAGCTGTTGGCTTGTCTTTTATCGGCATCGGTGTTTCTGGGATGAACACGGTGAATGTCTGCGGTCTGACTGCAAACAAGTGCTTCTTTTAAAGTTCAAGTCCATTGTGTGGCATAGCCCCACTCTGTGCTGAGCTTGGTTCCGGAAATTTCCTCACATTTATTAGAGGAATAATAAATTCCTCTTCAACTGGTTTTAAATTTAAAACCTTCAAGAAAATAAACCCAATGAAGTACATTGTTACTACAGCTCGGAATTCATTTGGGCACTTCTGAACTCTCTTTTCTTTTGTCGTCCTTTCATTGAGTCAGCCATCTTTGCTCGCCCCCCTGAGCTGTCCCATCCCCCATTCTGTCATTTGCCATGATCAAGTTTAAGAGTCTTTGAGAGAAATGTGAAAGACAAGCAGATGCTGTTGAAATTAATACGTTTTTGGTTTAAAATGATCTTGGACTGATTTCTTGACCCTTCGGATCACAGGTTCCTCATTATAAAGTGAGAACCGTAATGTTACAGGGCACCCTAACGTGAACTGGACTGCCTGTCTGTAGGTCCTCACCTGTGTGCTTAAAATTCAGTTGTACACAAAAGAGTCAATAATGGGTTTATTTACAAAGGAGAAAAGAAAAGGTATGACCCAGGAAAAGAAGGAAAGAGAAAGAGATACAAGTTAACTAGAGCATCCTACCAGCTCCACTGACTTGGAACTCAATAGCACACTGAAAGTTCAAGAGCCAAGGGACCAGCCACCAGCCACTCAGTCCAGAGAGCACCCCATGGTCCAAAGAGCCATGCAGTCCAGAAAGCCATGTGGTCCAGAGAGAGTCGCATGTTTGAGAGAGAGCAAAAGTCTAAAAGGGCTCCCTATGTGTCCCAGAAAGTCCCAGAATGCCTGCTTAGCTCTGCCCTTGCGTCCTTGCATTCTCTCCTTGGTGTTGCTGGGAGTTGTAGTTTCCAGTCACTGGAGCAGGGGGTGGAATCCACAGAACTCTGCAGAATTCCTTCAGGACATCATTTCCCCCCTAACAGTAATAGTACCTACTCATAAATTTCTGGAATTGGTTGGCTTGTGTAAAGCCATGATGATGTGCCGGGTACTGACTGTTGACATAGGTAGAGGGAAAGGATGCTCTAACTATCCCGCAACAGTGTTTGATTGTATTTTACCTTATGTAAGATCCCAAACACATTTTTTTAAAGATTTATCTATTTATGCACACAGAACTGGGGTACAGGCCAGAGGTGCAGAGGCACTGAGAGGATTCACCAGAGACAGTAGGAAGCAGAATAGGCAGACTGACGAAGCACACTGCTGAGGGGAGCAGCACAGTCAGGAGAGGCCTGTCGCATCATGTGGTCACCTCCGGGGCAGGGATTGAACTCGCACCGGAGTGGCTTTAGCTCCTCAGTGCTGTGCCTTAACCCGCTGAGCCACCAGGGAGGGCCCCCAAACACAATTCTAACTCGCCCTTATTGCTCATGTATCTTTACAGCTCGGAAGTCAAAGAAGTTGGGAAAGTTGAAAGGGATTCACGAGGAACAGACGCAGCCACAGCAGCCCCCGCCCCCCCCCCCCCCCCCCCAGAGCCCCGAGGAAGGCACCACATATATTGCGCCCGCCAAGGAGCCCCCGGTGAACTCGGCGCTGGTGCCCCAGCTCTCAGCCATCTCCCGCGCGCTCACGCCGTCCCCTGCCATGATCCTGGAAACCATCGAGCCGGAGGTGGTGTATGCAGGCTACGACAGCTCGAAACCAGACACTGCTGAGAATCTGCTCTCCACGCTCAACCGCTTAGCGGGCAAACAGATGATTCAAGTCGTGAAGTGGGCAAAGGTACTTCCAGGTAGGACGGAGACCCTCCTCCACTGACCACCCTACCTGGACAGGTCAGGGCGACGCGGTCCACCTTGTCCAGGGCAGTTGGGGTTTGCTTTCTGCACAGTCCTAACTTTAAATTGGAAATGGAGACTAAGTGAATGGGTTGTGCAGGAACAACCCACTGAATCTGTTTCATTTCTCCAGAGGCATTTGGAGGGAGGCTTCTGTTGTTGGTTTAACAGACGTGTTTCTTTTGTTGATGATGACAATGAAAGTTTTCACTTGAGGTTTTAACTAAGGCGACATGACTTGTGAAAGCACAGACTCAACCCTTTATTAGCCCCCCATTACCAGGCCTCACTTAAGCATGAATCAGGTAGGCCCTGACGTGTTATATCCTCGGGGGATCCTGTATGAGAACCTGGCTCTTCTTTCTAAAAGCATCATCTCAGCCCTGGTACCCTTAACTTGTCCTCGAAATTCCTAGGTCCTCATATTGTAGGATTTTGTTACTATGGCCCCTGTTAATCTCTAGAAACAATACTCAGAACAGCTGTCTGTCTGTCCCTGTTCATTAACCCAGGGCAGTTCCGTAGGTCACCTCTGGGAGTGAAATGCTAGAACGAGGAAACATTGTCTCAAAGCCCTGGACACACTGGGGGTGAAGAGAGGTCCAGAGAGAGACTTGAGGCCCAGCAAGGCAGACAGTGGGAAACAGGAGGTCAAGGACACGGCTTTTTCTCGCCTCCTTCCCCAGGCCAGGGGAAGCCAGGAGTAACGTTTCCCAGCCACCACTGACTCATGAAAAATAAAATCTTGCACCATTCAGTAGAAATGCAGGGGTGGACAGGTGCTAAGTCTCCTTTGTTTAAATTGTGAGGAGTTACAGGTTAATACAAATTCTCTCTGTCTAACCCAGGATGTTAAGCCATTATTCACAGTGAATCTCCCCAGTTTTATTTGTCCTCACTGGTCACCTTCCTTGAGAATTTGGGGTGAATTGAATGTTGAACATGGCCTGGCACATCATGGGTGCCCCATAAATGACAGTGGAATTGATTGTGTCTGTTCAAGAGAGGTGGCTGTTTGGGGGTTGACTTAACAAGCATCTTCCTGGAATGTACTTATGCTAAGTGTATTTCTGTGATTAATTGTTCTGTTCTTCAGGATTTAAAAACTTGCCTCTTGAGGACCAAATTACCCTAATCCAGTATTCTTGGATGTGTCTGTCATCATTTGCCTTGAGCTGGAGATCGTACAAACATACGAACAGCCAATTTCTCTATTTTGCGCCAGACCTCGTCTTTAATGAGTAAGTACCTATTAATTAGCCTTCATAAAATAAACTGCAGAGTTATTTGTTATGAATTTTTTTGTGATTTCTAAACAGATGTACGTTTGTGAAAGAATCCACTGATAACTCACGTTTTTTAAGAGTTAAAACGCTGTCATTCGAGAGCTTAAAAATAACTTCTCACAGAATTCGAATGCCCATGTCTAAACATCGATAAATCAGTATATATAGGTTTCACATAAGAATATGTAGGCACTGTCCCAAAAGAGAGATGATCCAGTTGGCTCCAAAAACTTGACTGCTACAGAGCCACAATTAATAGAAAACAGTCTCTTTGGGTATCTACTCCAGTTGGGGAGACGATCTAATTTCCAGGAAATGTGAGTGTATGAAGTGCCAGGTTTTGTGAGCTTTCATATAATGGTTCTTTTGTTAACACTATACAGCTGTTCAATGTGTTTTCATGACAATCATAATTACCCTTCTTTGCAATCATAAAAGAAGCCAAAATGTTATTCTGTAGTAAAACATTTTTAGTTTTATGATGCATTTTAAAAGGCTGAAAGAATCATAATAGATTTTTCTTTGGCCGTGAATTCCTTCCTATGTGAAGTTTACATTTTAATAGTGTTTGCAATCCACATTAGCACATTTCACTTGTGTTTATATCCAGTGGTGCTGCTTTGTAATTGTTGGGTCAAGAAATGCTTAAAATGAAAAGGAACGTTTGAATTATGATAGTAACCACAGCCACATTCTAACAGATGGCTGGCTGTCTCTCGAGATGTGAAAATAGGCGTTTTCAGTAGGAAAGGAGGCAGATGAGAAATAGTTGGGAGATACGAGAAAGAAAGCTGTGCAGAAGATTCAGAGTGGGCGCAGCATGCCAAGATACCTAAATATACCAGCAGGCTTTATCTAAGGGCACCGATTGACCCAGACCGAGGGTACCAGGAAGAATATTGTATTCTGGTGATAAATTAGCTGCTGGTTCTTGAAGTGACCTCTCACTTGGCAGTTCGTCAGAAAGAATAATGCTAGTCCTGAATAAATGTTCACCAAAAGCATGAAGTGAGGCCAAACAAGTGACAGGCGCGTTTTCATTTACTTGTTTTCCTCAGTAGTAAACTGATATTATTAAATAGTGAGCCTGTTTTGAAATGTGGACTATAAACCAGAAGAAAAACACACTGAACAGGGTCTTTGTCTCACAAGTGTGAGTAAACAACAGGCTTTCTGTGCCATCCAATGTTTCTGTGTGATTATATTTTAAGAGAAAATTCAAATAGCCCTTTAATCTTATTCAGTGCATCTATTGATTTTGGGGGGGGGTGGTCATAAAAATAGCTAATACTTGGAATTTGCCACTTCACCATTCTTAAGTGGGACTCAGTGGCATCAGTTACATCCACAGTCTGGGATAAGCCTCACCACATCCACCCCTTGTTCTTTTCCTCATTCCATACACAACTCAGGAGCCCACTCAACAATCTCTCAATATTGTGCCCAGCCCCTGAAAGCCCCTGGTCTATGAAGTCACCTAGATATTTCACACAAGAGGTGTTCTTCATCACTTACGGGTTTCATGTAGTGTGATGTCTTCAAGATCCCTCCATGTCGAGTTTGTGTCAGAACTGCGCTTACTGGGTGGACAGCATGCCGCGGAATGACCACAGAGCTAATCACTGGTGGTCACGTGTGCGTGGATTGGCCTCTGGCTCCCTTTGTGACCTCAGAGTCAAAACTCGCAGTCAGTACTCGGCAGCTATCACAGACCTGCACAGCGTGGCGATGAATCTGACTGGGGCGCGCACAGCTCTGCTGCCGGCCGGTCCTCTTGATCGCTCCCATCCGATAAACAAGCGTTCTTTTCATAGTCTAGTCGGTGCCACATTTTTGGCCTCTTTGTGCTTTGTGTTGGTGATTTCACTACCTCTTGTGGCTTGAGGCCTGAGGCCGAGAGCTGTCTGGTGTTGCCTAGGAGGCTGCAGCGTCCCTCAGAGAGCAGCACACATGTTAGAAGGTGTTTTCAGGGCTGAGTTACAGTCCTGCTGCCTGAATCCGGTGCTGATGAACCCACAAAACGTAACAATAAGGCGTCTGCAGACAGAAGCGCATATGAGACAAGATGGCATATAGACTAGCAAATAAAAGTGTCTTCCCCGCGGGCTCTCCAGAACCTAACCCTGCAGGCCCCTAAGAGGACCAGTCCTGTGATCAGCAACTCGGTGTTGGCAGCAGCCTGGTGGAGCATCACCAGCCCACTGAGAGAACTGCATGACCCGTCCACGCGCCCCTCGGTGGGTCGCAACTGGGGTTGTCTCCGCCTTTGGGCTGTTATGGAAAATGCTGCTGTGATCATTTGTGTGTGTGCGTCAGCTGGGGCCCCTGCTTGGGGGATGGAGAGGAGGATTGCCAGGGTGGGTGTTCACCCCACCTTGAACTTCTTGGGAAGCACAGCAGGTACATCATGGACATCCTTGCACGTCTACATGAGCGCCGCTCTCACCACCTTCTTGCCGGCACCTGCTGTCTGGCGTTGCTGCTGGCCTTCGAGGCTACGCCAGGAAGTGTGACCTGGTCTCTGTCATGGTGGCTTCGGTTTGCATTCCCTAATGATTCACCATGAGCCTCTTTGCAAGTGCTGTGGGCCACCTTGTATCTGCCTCAGAGAAATGTCTGTTCACGTCCTTGGCTCATTTTTTAATTGGCTGCTTTGTCTTTTTGGTTTTGAGCTGGAGGAGTCCTTGATGTGTTCTGAATTGAAACTCTTCCCAGAGAAATGAGGTGTGAACACTTGCTCGAATTCAGGAGGTGGTCTCCTCGCCCTCCTGAGAGTGTCCTCTGTGTACTTTAAAAATTAACGGTTTTAATTTTAAGTCCGATTTCTCCGTTTTTCTTTTGTTTCCCATGCTTTTGTTACCACGTATTAATTTTTAATTGTGTGCAAACATTTAAGTGTACAGATTCCAAAGTGCAAAATTGTAAAAACCCCTTTTAACTAGTGAAGCTGAGGGGGAAGCACCTTCTATTTGACACTGGGGAAATGAATGGCTTACTAAAGGGTTTAGCAACCAGAAAGACATAAGACACAAAGAGAAGAAAACAGAAAAGGGCAGATATGCCTGGTTTGCACTCGTCTGGTCTAGAAAACATGAGTAGAGATAAAATGGAAACAACAAAAAAGTGTTTTCTAATGTTACGTTGATAAATGTGATAGTGCAAAATTGTTAAAAATAAAAAAAATTGTTCCTTGTTCTTAAAACTGTGCACCCCCACCCTGTAGACTAGCCGGGAGCTGTCTTGCCAAGGGGGGTAGCCAGTGGCCTTCCCCAGGACACATGGGAAGTGACAGAAAGCCTGTGGCAAATCAAATCACAGGTGGAGCTGGATGGGACAGTTTTACCACAAGGCGCTTTCATTGACCCTGTAGTTTTAGGGAGTCTTCTAACTTACAGAGAGTGGCAACTCAAGTCTGAGACCTGCTTCGCCGTGCTTCTGTTCAGAGAGTATTTACTAGCTGTTCTCTGTGTCCTAAGCAGTGGTTTCAGCATAGTGAGGAAGACACAGCCTGTTTCTTGGGACATGCTGTGTAAACAGGGAGGCAGAGAGTAATCAAAGATCTTAAAATGATGATCCTGAGATGTGTTGACAGGAAACGTGCTGTGGGAGAGTTTTATAGGAGGTATCGATCTGTCAGGAACAGCTTCCCTGGAATTGATGGGGTTGGTGTCAGCCTCGTGCCTGGAAATAGCCGTGTGTCACTTTATGACTCTGGTCAGCGCTGGACGGTATATATGATAGTGGCCCCCACTGGACTCTTCCATCGAGCCTGGGTGTACAGGAAGCTGTGCCATCTGGGTTTGCCTCATGACAAGGAAATTGCCTGGGGACACATTTCTGACAGTATAGCCCCATCATGAAGAAACACGTGACTCTAGAGGAGGGCAGCTGGCCTCCCTGTGGGCCCAGCACATGCAAAGGCCTGCCAGTGGCAGGAAGGACGTGACAGCAAGTACAGTGTGGTCAGAGCACCAGGGTCAGCCAGGAGCCCAGTGAGCCCGAGGGGAGCCAGACTCAGGCTGTGTGAGCTTTGGAAGCCAATTTCAGACCTTGATTCTTTGTTCTCAGAGCAGCTGAAAAGCTCATGAAGTTTTCTCAGTGGTCAGGCAACATTCCCAGATTTCCTTCCAGAAAAGCCCCCTCTGCGTATAAAGAGAACAGCCTGGAGGTGCAGCAGACCAGACAGGGCCGAGGAGGAGTCCAGGTGAGGGAAGAGCCTTGGGCAGGGACCGTAATAGTCATGGAAAGAAACTCGAAGAGGTTATAGGCGAAACCAGCATGGGTGCAGGGGGAAGGGTCTGGTAGAGACTGCAGGGGAGGAGGAAGAGGAGGTCAAGAGGGCATGGAGAGGAAGGGAGCAGAGCGCCAGTTCTGGAAGTGTTGAGGATGAATTGCATTTGAAGATGATCGAAAAGAAAATGTTCAACGAGCAGCTATTTGTGCCTGCGCTTCCCACACAGGCATGTCTGTGTGACGGCAGACTTGGACCTTACTTTGAGCAGCGGTGAGAGAGAGAGAGAGAGAGAGAGAGAGCAGCTGTTGTGGCGCAGACCCCCAGGCCTGTGCTACCTGCTTGGCTGACCCAGTGCGCCCACGGTCTGCCGGATCTTGGCCTGCCGAGACCTGGCACCTTCGTCACAGGGGCCAGTGGCCGTATTTCCCGCCGCTGGTTCCTGCCTTCTGCCAGTGAGGGAGGTGACGGCAGGGCGTGGAAAGAGGTGCGGGGAGGAAGGAGCCGCTGTGCTGTGCCTGGCTCTGCAGGCCTGCCCCCACCCCCTGCAGTTTCAGCCCAAGGGCACCTGACCTGCATGGCCCTCACCTGCGCCAGCCCTTGTGGTCTGTCACACCTCCTGGTGGGGACCACAGCCTCTGACCTAGTCGTTTTTAGTTTCCAGCACCCGGCACCATATCCAAGCTGCAGTAGAGCCTCCGTTAACACTTGCTGAGTTATTGCT